TTTTAAAAGAATTGAAAGTAAGTGACAAAGATATTCTGTGTTTTCTAAGAGATTGTCGAAATGTGCTGAAAGTGATGACACAAAAGATTATTGAGAAGGGACCTGTCAAGTACAAATGTGTGAAAGCTTTGAGCAGCTTAGACCCAGAAATTATTAAAATGCAATCAAATGTTGGAAAATTGTATTTCAATGTTTTACTGGAGGTTCTACATGATACAAACAGGATTGATGAGAAATGTGCTGTCAAAGCAAAAGAACAGTATGATATACTCTGCAGTAAAGTGCCCATAAAACCCTATTCTACAAAGTTTGAGGACTTCATATCTGAAAGGAGTGATGATGATAGTCTGGACACATTTTATTGTGAAGTTTTGAAGGATGATAGGCAACTGCGAGATCTATGGTCTATTATCAAAATTTCTCTTTCTTTCTCCCATGGGAATGCAAGTGTTGAGAGTGGTTTTTCGGTTAACAAATCACTGTTGAGTGAAAATCTTAAGGAAGAAGGTTTAGTTGCTCAACGCTTAGTTTATGACGGGGTCCATTTTGCAGGTGGTATTGATCAAATAAATATAGACCAGAAAATGTTGTTAACAGTCAGAGGATCTAGACAGCGATATATTGCATCTCTGCAACAGAAAAAAGATATTCAGAAGCAGCAGGCATTGAGGGCTAAAGAAAAAAGAAAACTTACACAACAACTTAAGGACTTAAAACAACACAAGAAAACATTAAGAAAAGATCACGAAAAAGAAGTAAAAGAGATTGAAATGAAAATAAATACACTTGAGGAGAAAAGGCTAAAACTACATTAATATAATAGTTTTTGTGTTTTATGAATAGTAATTCATTTTTTATTTTCTAATTATCTGTATTTTGAAAAAAAGGATTAATACTAAGAAGTTTCTCTGTATTTTGATTGTCCATTTTGTAAAAAAATAAAAAGATTTCACAATAAATTAGATGCATTTGTTAGAGAAGCTATAGTATAAACTTACACCTATTCCTCTTTATGTACAATCATTGATTTTTTTACGTAGGAAAAATGCTTTATTTAAAAATCTTTNATGTAATGTTCGTTTGTTCCTACTGATTCCTTTGAAATTTTGACACAACGCTGCATTCGAATACGCACGTGTTTTTATATAATATACATGTCGAAATCCCCCCGGGAGATGGACAGGATTAAGGCTTACCGTAAAGAACTGTGCTTCTATTTATGCTATTTTAGATGCGATTTTTTGCGTTTTTGATTGAGTTTTAATAGGGTACGTCAACAGAATATACACTACAAAGGGATTTTTCGATATTTCCCCGTGGGGGAGAGACACAGGATTAAGGCTTACCGTGAAGAATTTGGCTTCTATTATACTATTTTAGATGCGGTTTTTTGCGTTTTTGATTGTGTTTTAATAGGGTATGTCAAGAAAATGTACACTAAGGGATTTTTCGGAAAATCCCCCCATGGGGGAAGTGTTATACATTTATAATAGATACATTTTGAGCCACAACAACGCGTGGCGGGGTCTGCTAGTAAATAAATAAAGGTCAACAACTCACTATGCGTTTAGAGGGTTAACCCTCCATTACAAATCTCGTAAGTGTAGTGTAGAATGTTGATAAAGCATGATAATGTGAAAAATGTATCTGTAATCTCTAATCTGACACCACAATGAGATCTCGCACCACCTCAAAGTCTTCCTAGGGCAGCCTCTGGTTTGGCCCGTGGAAAAAGTTTTCTTTCCAATTTGGCCTGGGGGCAAAAACTGTTGGCCACCCCTGGGCTAGACAATATTTACATGTGCTTATTAAAAAATTCTGTTACCTTAATCTGTCTAACCTGTTTTAACTTTTGCTTTAGGATCACTTTCTCAAGCTCGTTTTCAATTAAATCTATACTTTCCAAAAGTCAAGATTCATGAATGTTGCTTTCAGTTTTGAAATTGTGAAAAATGTCTGATAGTGGAAAAGATTCGAGCATCACTTTGTTCTTCATTATCATTGTTGTAGTGAAGTGATATCAGACCTCCTGATATCACTACAACAATATAGTGGGAGAAAAAATCGGCCCGGAGTGGGACTTGAACCCGCAACTCTTGCTTACCGTGCAGATGCGTTGGAAGAGGAGATCGGACTGGAGGTCCGGATAGCGTAACTGGCAATGCATCTGCACAGTAAGCAAGAGTTGTGGGTTTGAGTCCCGCTCCAGGTTGATTTTTTCTCCCAGTGGTTCTAAATTATTTAAATTAATTAATTAATTTATAATTATTAATGTTAATAAGAGATGGCGCTTAACACTGACCTCTAGAGTCAAGTTGGTTACGTAATTCATTTAGTAATTAGCCTTAAACTAGCCCGATAGATTTTCGGTTGGTGTTTAGCTATATGGCTAAAAAACTTTTATGGAATGATGTTTTGTATAAATGGCAGCAGAAATGGAATACATATAAAGAGAAAACTACGTACAAGTTCTTTCCAATTATAAAGGACATATACAAATATCATTGGATACAACCTACACACTTATTAACACAATTCTTCACTGATCATGGAAAATTTGCAAAGTACTTAAATAGATTTGCAAACTTAAATACCAATAGATGTTCAATATGTGGTGATGTTGATGGGAGTGAACACTATATATTCAACTGCCTAATGCTTGAACAAGAAAGACTCGACCTAAAAACAATTGCTATTCAGCTAGGTATTTCTTGGCCTTGTACACAACACGAATTGATTAATAACAAGGAAATGTTCTACTATCTACAAATACTCATTAAAAAATACAACGATATCAACACAATACATACCTAATTGATGGTGGACAAACAGAGAATACAAACTCAAGAACATCATCATTATAAGCGATAGGGCATCTGCTTTAGCAATAATTAAAAGCACCAAATTAAATCCAATTTCTACAAAAATTAAAGAACAAATAACTGGTGTTCACACCATAAACCAATTACTTACAAACTTACGAACTATGGCACATATAACAATAACTCTATACGATTAACGAAGCCATAGTGTATGTAAGTGGAGGGCCTTCAACTTGTATATATATGTATATACTCGTAATGCCTCTGCACATCATGGTACTTCGGACCTAACAGTATTTAATAAATTCTGGGTACTCAGTATGTAACTTTTAAGACTCTCTGTGATTGTCATTGCTTTGATCGGTGTTGCGGTCTTGATGTATAGCAAATTATTGTGACAGCGTAACTTCAAAATTAC